CACACACGCACACACATGAGTTATGAACGTGTTCATGTTTCTGGTTGGAATTCTATACATGAGACATAACCAAGCCCTTTCCTATTAGCGCTTGGTCATTTCCATAACAGTTGTGGCTGTCTCTGTAAGTATTGGAAAAAAGCATAAGACTGGATTTTCCAGTCGGTTCAGAAGTGTATTGTGGGTCAGAGAAGCATCTCCTTAGCGAAGCGGCTGAAACCTGTTCTAATGATCACCTCACTCCCATAAGCGGCAGACATCGTGATGTCTTATGCTTTTTTCCAATACTTTTTTCCAAATGGTGCCGAGAGATTACTGTTGTAAAGGCTATTTGGGATAACACCGGTCTCGGTAGAATTAGCAAATTCAGCGTTATCTACTTGTGTCAACTGCTTCTAAGTGGCATGTCACCTACACAGTGGGACCTTTGGATAGTATGCTTTTTCGATCAAAATAAGCACGAATGATAAAATAAATATTTTGTTCGAATGATTGAAGATCCGAGATTGAAAACCTCCGATTCACCACGTCATGGATAATTTGCATGTTGTATCTATTCAATATAGGATCTTTGACGCTTCATATCGGCTAGGTTCTCGCCCCAGTGTTGCGTGACGGTCCTCCACTGCGTGTGGAACTGGAGTCCGGTCTGAAAATATTCCAAAAACCCTTATAGCTTTCAATAAAAAGTGCATCTTGTTTAAGTTACTCTTCCGGAGTAGTTCAAGTCGCCTCTGAATGAACCACGCCATCCTGTGAAAGAAAACGTGGGCAAGGGTATAGGCACAGGCACATTTACACCGATATGTCCGCTTTCGACGTCGTTGATGAACCTAATTAGAACGTGTCAACCGTCTTGAAACAGCTGTGAAACGACAAGAAGGTACTGCACAAACGTACTTTCTCGCAACAGCGCCGTTGGACGTGAAAATGACAGCACCATTTCCATAGGGGTTCTTGTTCAGAATGTCAATGGCATCATTCAAAGTTTCAGCTTCCATGAGGAGGAGAACCGGCCCGAAAATCTCCTTCTGAAATCACTCAATATTGGCGCTTTGCCAATATACCTGATGTAACAAAAGTAAAAACAATGTGATGCAGAAGCCTTCCTTGCCGAACCTTATAGCACGTCATATTAGTCTTAACTCCGGTGATTACGGTCGGACCGACAAAGTAGCCATTCTCAAAGCCGGGAACAACGATTTCGCTTCCATCAAGCACGACATTAGCACCCTCCTGCAGCGTATACTAATTTGAGTCTCGAAAGATCAGAGCAGTGAGTCGAATACCTTCTTCGCGCTAGCAATGAGACCAAGAATGTGCTCCTTCGATGCCTTTGAGATCACTGGTCCAATATCAGCTCCATCTATCCATCCTTAACGAATACGAGCATTCATCGCTACTGGGTGGAGCCTCAGAATTGGTTGATTGCAGCGGCAAACCTGCATTGACTTTAAACTTCTTAGCCCTCTCAACAATGTCGTTGACCCAAGAACGAGTCTTCCCAACAAGGACGGCAGTACAAAGTGCCATGCAGCGTTGTCCAGCCATATAGAAAGCAGCAACATTTATCTGAATAACCCGATCGTAAACTTCAGAATGTTTTTGCATACATCTCCATCTTTATTCATTCATTTTTGCATAAAGTGAAAATACAGAAACACGGAACAAGCTAGATTGAGTGTTTCCTCTATTAATTTGCAGATTATCACCTGAGTTTCAGACATTTCAAAGTGGTTCATAGTAGACGAAAAACCGGGCGACGGACTTTTGGCTCGTCCGGGTTGGCACGCGGCAAATTGCGCGGCGAGCGGCGCGGCGATCCCGACGCATCGCGGGAATTCAACACGTCAACGTGTGAAGATTGCGGATAAAATCCGCAAGGTTCTGCAATTCGAAATGCATCTGAACGGCTGGAATTTTGAGGACAGCGGTGGTTGTAGCAATAGGAAGAGATGAGAAGGAACTAGCATAGTGCTGTTATGGCAATCAGGGCGGTCATGTTGTTGGGGGGACGTTCCATTTGGGGGATGTGAGTGAGACAATTACTGTGTTTGGGACCGAGACTTAGGGAGGAGAAGGGATTCTGGGGGATAGAGCTACCCTAGGACCAAGCCCAGCAGAAGGGTTCCCTGGCGTTCTTCCCCTCTGCTGGGCTTAGTCCTAGTGTCACCTACCATCGACCCTGTTTTGTTTTTTGTTTTGAATGTTTCTCCTCTGGACGTGAGCGCCTCGATCAGCAAAACATATAGCTGACATCGAACCTCAGCAAGAACTAACGATTTTAGTGGCTCTTATTTGCTTTGATGGTAGTAGTTACATTTACATGGGGTCCTCATCTCTTGCGCTGAAATTTCCTCATCGATACTGCTGCCTCATCCGTGAGCGGGGGTTTCAACATGCAGAACCATTGCCGAAGTTTGATTTTCGCAGCTGCAACCATTAAGTGTTGAATTCTACTCGAACCGCGAAGCGGTGGTCGTTCAGATCGCCGGCGTGCGCCGCGGCGTGCCGCGGCGTACTCGCCGCGTGCCAGGCCGGCGAGACATAGTCGCACCCGAAAACCTGGATTAATCGTCCTCTCCTTGTCGCAGTCTTCCATAACAACTCCATGGCATTTAGCTCCTAGGTTCGACTGCACACGCTTTCCATTGCGAGCACCACGCTCATAAATGTGTTTACCCTGGAAGTTGTCGTAAAGATGGATATCCCACTTAAAAAGTTCTGTGTCTGTCTTGACTTTCCACTGGAAGCTTCACGGTAGCCTTCTCCAGCTGGCTCGCAAGAGAGTGAAGCTCCATAGTATAGAGGGAAACCCACTGCGTTATCACCTCCAAAGAACGAGATTGCTTTGATATCGGGATGATCGCAGATAAAGTTAACGGTGTCGTGCTGACCATGAATAATGTTGAGGCATCCATCAGGAAATCCAGCCTCCTGAAAAAATACTGTGAACCGTTTCGAAAATTTATCATAAGCTCACTCACCTTTGCTATTTCAGCAAGCATCAAGCATGGTCCAGGATCTTGTTCTGAAGGCTTGATCAACATGGTGTTTCCGGCAGCGAGTGCGAGAGTGAAAGTCATCAGGGGAATTGTAACTGGGAAGTTGAATGGCATGATACCGGCACAGACTCCCAATGGATATCGAAATGATAGAACATCCAAATCGCGTGAGGCGCTGTAAATACACTCTTTTGAAAGACGAGTAAACGTAAACGAGTAAGAAACGTAGACGAGTAAGAATAAGCGAACGGATGAAGAAGCCCACTTTGGTAGAGTCTCTCCAAGCATGAGCTCTGGCGTAGTGCATGCATGTTCGATTAGCTGAAACAGATTTTTGGAAAAGAAAACAATGAGTGCCGTGCTCTTCATTCTGAACAGCTTCACGGTAACCTTAACTCCTCTTCCAACGTCGCTCTCCGCTTCAGCAACCGTCACTCCTTTTTCTTGTATGGTTTTCTCGACCAACTTTTTAGCGTCCCGCATAATCAGATCTCGAAGTCGGAACATGGTCTGCTGTCGCGCTAGAGGTGAACTGAAAGAAACAAACATACTTGTGTTGTTCCCCAAAAATTTACCCTTTCGAGTGTATCACCGACATCTTTTTCCATGCGTTAAAGGCGCTCTTAGCTGAATTGACAGCCGCCTCCATCTCAGACTTTGTGCACTTTGGAACTCGCCCAATGATCTCATTTGTTGCCTAAGATAAGCAATGAGTTACGACACGGATATCGAACAAGGGCCAAATAGAAATCGGTTCGGGGACAGGTACATCGGTCGATCTGTCGGTATGTCTGTCGGTCTGACCATCCGCTAGACGCCTCTATTGTAGCAGTTCTGAGCACACATAATAACGAGACAGAGCCAAATAAGGTGACCTAGAGGTCTTGCTTAACAATGTTTTGTAATATGATCGACATAACTCTCTGCCAGCTGTAAAAGACTGACACCCAAAGGGCACCCTCTCGTCATTCACCAAGTTACTTCAGCCACGAGTGGAACAAAGGGATCCTATAAGGAAAACAAATCGCTACCAAGGCTAGGAAGCAAATCAGCGCTGAGGTAATGGTAGATATTCGCCCACGCGATATTGAGTCGTATTTACAGAATCCACTCCATATTGCACCCAAATTGTATTCCAGCAAGCAGACTCCACAAGATTCTACCCTTATAGTGAATTCGAATACATATGGAAAGATTACAGCGTTCCAAGTGAGGCGAAGTTCTAGCTGCAGGCTTCCGTTCCACAAATAAGCCTAGCGGAAACGAATACCACCTAAGAACTGAAAAAAAACACCAGAACACAGTCCTCCACTATTTCTCCTGTGATATGCTCATTACCAAATCCATAGATGCGTCCACACAGACTCGAAGGTAGGGAGTGTGTGCATGTGTGGATGCCTGTCTATGCGCCCGCAGATGCCCTGTGGATGTGGTAAGAAAGTGATGAAAAAGCGTTGTTTGTTATGTCAACATAATGTGTTGTTGAAAACCAAAAGTGTCCGAGCGCTACATAGCCCATCTACTTCGCACGCTTTTAGCTTTTTCATAAAGACGTTGAAGACACGAGCGTGGGTTAGGGAGGTTTGAAAGAAAGCAATCGCTACCAAAACTAGCAACAAATCTATGTAAAGGATCAACCAAGAGCAATTAGATGTAGTGATGACACTCAGTCTTTGTGTATGCCCTTCCTCTCCATTTATCGTTATCCTCACAATTGGAATGAGCGCAGCAAAAGCTGTGTGTAGCTCAGGTAGGAAGAGGAAAATCTCAGCTACTGCTAGGAACAAAGTTAGGTACTCAATATGTGTACTGGAAACAATCCAGAACAGTATTATGCCTCGCACTCACGGGATTAGTTAGATCAATCCACTCATTCGTCTTCGACTCTACAGGGCGCCCATCTATCCACATCTTCACCGTTTTGTCGGTAGCTACTGGTCTGCTACATGAGAAGAAGGCGCATTGCCGGCAGAACGCATAAGCCTGTAACAACAAGCATACTTAAACTACCCAGAAAGCGTGGAAAAAAGAGAAGCCAATGCTTCCATGCGCAGAGCACTACCTGTTGGGCAAGTGAAGAGTATACATCAAATGTTCCTTCGAAATATTGGATAGCAATCTTGCGTGTGAATGGTGTGGTCGTACAGACTTACCACTGTGCGAGAAGCTGGCTTTGCTCTCGAAAATTTGCGAAAACAACGACTCGATATTGCCACAATAAATCAATTTAAGATCGCGACTTCATATTTTCGATTGACTAAAACGTGTTGACGAAAAGGGGGTTGAAATGTTGTCAAAATTCAGTTGCGTCAAATAAAAAGATAGGTAAGTAAACGAATGACAGGTTAAATTTAACAATACGAGAACAACCAAGGCGTGGTGCTGTCAGCGATTTCCAACCAGGATACATTCTAATAGTGCCTGAACGAGTTCTTTCTATCGTGAAGCCAAAAAACATTCCAGTCATGACATTTTGGTGCATCCGTCAGGCAACTATGGATACACAGTGGAAGGCTGGTCGCATGTGATATTCTTTGTCACTTGATACTCTTTTGAAGAACTTTTTCAAGGTTTGCGTATGGAAAGTTTCCGTCGATTTTGAGCTCAAAGTCAAAAGCTCATATTTCGGTTCTAACAGAAGATTTTTGAACGAAATAAAGACTACACATTACAATCTTCATACATTTTCCCATAAGAAAAAGGTTTACTAGTTTTAGGTGTTGGAAGTGCTGGAATTCTGTAGCGAAGAACTCGGCTGTCGTCTCACCATCATGTACAGTTTCAATTGGCAGCTGATAGGCAAGAGGATTCCTGTGCAAGATGTTTGCAGCACAGCTTTGTAGCTCAGCTAGTTCAACTTGTGCACGGCTGGAAGTGCGAGATGGGGCTGCGCAACTGTGGGGAGAAGAGTCGGCAGCACCCACTTGTCGACTTCTTTGAACGTTTCACAATCATCTGTATATTCAGGAACCCCATCTCAATTACGCCTGATTAGGAAGGGTTTCGTGCAGATTTGGTTTGATCAATCCTCTTAGGCTGTCAATCTCCAATATCCGACCTTCAACCGTATCTCTAAGCTTGTCACTATCACAAGAAGGACATTTTAAATCACGGCTGCAGAGCTTTAAATGGATTGGTCACCAAATCATCAGTCAGTCATTCCGATTTCTCCGCTGTTTCCCGATCAAATTATAGGAGAAACAAGTAACTCGTTTATAATAACCTGCTGAGCATCTTGTTTTGCAGCGTATGTGCCGTGTGAATTAACGGCTTGAAAAAAAGAGACGAAAAGGATTTTAGGGTCATGTGACAGTACATCTAGACATGGCGAGAAACGCACTCACTATCCTACTATATATAATCGGCTAAGCGGTCGTGTGTGTGTGTGTGTGTGTTTGTCTGTCTGACCGGAAATTCATAACTTCGTTCCCTTTGGTCCCAGAGCGCTCAAACTTCTAGGTATATAGGGGGCCGGACGTGAACACTGATGATGGGTGGCGGGAAGTGATAAGTACTGATAGAAGCTGATAACGGGCGTCAGAATGCCGATGTCACCAACTTCTTACGCCGTTCGCGTTGGCAGTGGATTGCTAGCACTCATGAATATTGTGTAGGGTAGGACTGGGACCCAAATGGTGAGCGAAGGAAAGTGATAGCAAATGATAAGGGCTGATAAGGGCATCGGAATGCTAACGTCGTCAGTTTCGCAACGCCCTTTGCGTTGACCCTAGATGTTCGCACTCATGAATATTATGTGGGGTGAGGCAGGGACCAAAGGGTGATTGGAAGAAGGTGGTAGCAACTGATAAGAACTGATAAGGGGCGTCAAAGTGTGGATACCACCAGTTTCGTTGCGGCCCTCGCGGTACAGGAACCTTGGCTCTCACATGTGGTATAGGGGATGGGACGGGAACACGGATAGTGGTGATCAAAAGTGATAACAAGCGATAACGGTTGATAAGGAAGTTAGGATTTTGAGTACCTGCTAATTTCGTTGTAGCCTTCGTGGCGACAGTAAAACACTAGCTCCTACACATTGCATGGGTGTGGGACGGAACACCGATGTATGAACTGATAACAAATGATAAGGAATGATAAGGAGCGTCTGAATGCAAATGTCCCAACTTCGTTGCAGTCATCACTGGCAAACGATCAAGGGAGCGAGGTGTTGATGGTGGGTGACAGGAGTGGTAATGAGCGTCAACTATACTGATAAAGTGGCGACAACTGAGTGTGCGCTCATTCAAATTGAACCAGGTTCCTAGCACGTGAATATGTTCCATTCCTAACCTTTCACCCAAAAAAAGCAAAAGAATTTGAGCCACTCAACTCTCTGG